CCCGGGGAAAAAAAGGGGCTTTGAAAAAAGGGCTTTGATGTCGGCAGAAGATTTCCAGACTAGCACTCTGAGCCGACAAACATCTGATCAGCTGTTTGTTGGCTCAGCGTGGCAGCCATTTAAATTGAAATGAAACGGCGATTATTTAAATCGCGGCTTCATTTCCCTTTACCAAACAAACAAATCTACATGGCTCCATCGATGGAGCCATGTAGTTTAGACATACCCTGAGAATATGAAGGCTAGAGGTTGAACTGGGAAGTGACATAGTGCCCAACAATAGGCTGTGAGGGTGAAGTGTCAAGTAAAACACTTTAATTGATTTTATTTAGACTGATTGGGAGCTTGAATCAGCAAGAAAGTAGGTTTTTTTTCTCTTTGCATACACCATCTGGGACCTTTCAGATCCACCTGACATTAATGTGAGTTTTGTATATGTAAGCAGATTAATACATCAATATTGAGAGATCTGAGAGTAAAATATGATCTGTCAGGAGACTCCAACCCTTTTGATCATGAGATCACTTTTTGAATTGAAGCGCAATCCAAGATCTACCTCAAATATAAATACCCTTGTCCCCACTCCTTCCCACACCTTCTCCAAGGCCCCGCCCCTACTCACTCCATCCTCCCTTTCTACTGAATATGCATCAAACATAGCAGTGTTAGTGTAACAGATGATAAACGTGATATCCCAGCAGTAGGAGAAAGAGATGCCATCCTTGGGAGGTGCCAAGCTGATGGCCACTGGTGATGATGGGGGAAGGTAAGGGTGATGAGGAAGACAATGGCTAACACTTCAGATTGTTCCAAAAGGAATGGTGTGAGTATGTGGAAATACAGATGTACACTCTCTCTCTGTCTTGTTAAGGGGGATGTTTGTGACTGTGCTAAATGTATTAATAAACTATAGTTGTGACTATAGAAGAGTTCCCGTAGTGTGAGTGCTGCAGCTGTACACATCAGGCTTCCTGAACATAGGATAATTTAAACACTTGGCCTGATCCTGGTTCAAGGACCTGCCAACACTCGTAGGCTGTGTCTACACTGGCATGAATTTCTGGAAATGCTTAAAATGGAATAGTTTTCGTTATAAGTATTTCCAGAAAAAGAGCGTCTACACTGGCAGGCTGCTTTTCGGGAAAAGCCCTTTTTCCGGAAAAGCGTCCATGGCCAATGTAGACGCGCTTTTCCGGAAAAGAGCCGCGATCGCCATTTTCACGATCGGGGCTTTTTTCCAGAAAAGACTACTGGGCTGTCTACACTGGCCCTTTTCCGGAACAGTGTTCCGGAATAAGGACTTATGCCCGAGCGGGAGCAGAATAGTTTTTCCAGAATAGCGGCTGATTTTGTACAGTTCAACGTCATTGCTTTTCCGGAAATTCAAGGGCCAGTGTAGACAGCTCGCAGCTTATTCCGGAAAAGCGGCTGATTTTCCGGAATAAGTGGCCCATTGTAGACACAGCCAAAGTGGTAACTGGAAATTCAGAAGTAATCTGTATAATTATGCACAGTCTGAAGATCAGGCAACAGCGGGAACTGAATTCCTATTAATCGTTTCCGTAAATTATTTATAGGGCATGTGTACTGGGGCTCTATGAAATGCACAGAGAGACATGGTCTCTGCGCTATGAGCTTATACTATAACTCAGACAAATGTGATACATGGGGCAAAAAGCTACAGAGATCATAACAGCAGAGTTGATAAAGTTAAAACCCAAGGACTGAACATGAAGCCCAAGAGAAGAAAGACGGAGCCTGGGCTGGGGGGAACTGTGACAGAAATCTGTCCTGAAGAAGCCTTGATTCACAAGTTCATACATGAAGCTCATTAATATAGTAGGACATAGCCCACTATCACAGCGAACACAGGTCATTAGTTTAATGATTAGTAGAGGGATGCTGCAATAATGCAGATGTGACTACAACACGCAGGTTTGGTACATCTGTTCCATTACAGCAAAGTCACTATACAGACCCACAAAGAAGGGCATGCGCTGGCCCCACCATAAAGAACTCCAATTTCCACCTGTCCCAGAGCCTGCCCTCTTACCGTCTCCTTCATCTCAGCCCTGTGGTCCTCCAGAATTGCCGCCAGTGCTGCCGTGGCAACTGTCGTGGCACTGTCGGAGTCCTTCAGACTGGCGACGGTTCTCAGCACCAGGTCGGTAAGCGAGAGCTGACTGCTGTGCTCCTCAGCGCTCTGAAATGAAGAGAAGAAAGCCTTTCCTTGATGGCACGGTTCTGGAGACCACACACACTAGGGAGACTGAAAGCAAGAGGAACCCGACCACAGCCCAGTCCCTCATTAGGGCTGCATAGTGGTCGAGCCACTTGAATCTCCCAGCAGCTGCCAAAGTTTCCTCAGGACAGCATTTTCAAGCGTGGCTTCCTTGGATGGTGAGCTGTTTGAGGCAGGGACTGTGTTTATTCTGTGTCTGTACAGTGTCTTCCCCTGTGGGGTCCTGGTTCATGCCCACAGCTCCTCGGAGCTACAACTATACAAATACTAGTCATAATAAAGTTAGGTACTTCCGATCATATTTAGACATCTCATTGGTTTGGGTTTCAGAGATGCACAGAACCCAACCTCTGTTGAATTCTGTGTGGACCGTTGGGTTTTCAGCATGTTTGAGATGATGACCTTTTAAGTAGGTGTCTGCTTGTGGATTTACGGTGAGCTTGTTTCATACAAAGGTAAATGTCAAATGGGCTAAATCTGTCCAGAGGCCGCGTCTGGATGGGATGATGTTTCAGAGAAGTCCAGGTACAAAAAATAGGTGGAGAGAGCCAGACTGCATAGGAGAAGTGTGCAAAGAAGCCCAGATTCTGCAAGTTCAATATGCAAAGACCTGAACTGGGTGGCATAATTTGGCAGAGAGGCCTGGGTTGTCTGAGATTAGTATGTGGAATGGTTCAGATGATGTGGGTGGGAAGGAAGCCGGAATAAATGAAGAGCATTCTTACCTGGTCATTGCCTTCTTCCTGCAGTAGTGGGGAGGAGTCCTGTTGAGTTTGCAAGCTTGTCCAGTCTTCTGTTACCAGGGGTCCTACTGGTTCAGGTTTCCTCTTCCCTTGCCAAAGCGTGAGGTCCTGTTGATTCTGGACACTGCATTGCTCCACCACTTCTGCTACAGCAGCACTGACCTCCCGCTCTACAGACCTCTGCTGCTCCTGCTGTAGGGCGAGGCTCCGTGGGTCTGCATGACAGAGCTGTGTTTTCAGATCTGGAGAGCTGCTGACCTCCAGTTTAGTGACTCGAATCTTTACGTGGTCGCCTACATGGCTGATTCCTGATTCGTTTTTCTCCCTCAGCGTATTGATCTGTACAATTTCACTGTGCACTTTCGAGAGTGTGGCTTTAATTTCCATTGACGTGTCTGAAAGTGCCTGCAAAGTTCCCTTGATAACCCGGATTTCTTCGAGCACAGCTGAGGTTAGATCTCTCACTGCGGGAGGGTGAGTGGCTATTTCCGGAGAAGAGAGAGAGGATTTTAGCCTTTTTACAGCCTGAAACTTCTCCTGCATCCACAAGGAGCTTAGTTCTCTCTTCAGACCAGGCTGTGTTCCCTTCCTGGCTGCAACAGGCTGGACAGTTTGAGAATTCTCCTGTTGCAAGGCGAGGTTCTTCTCAACCTTTGGAGAGGAGCTTTTGCCCTCACCAGCAATAATTGTCTCAGAGGTACTGCTAGACATCTGTTTGCTCTTCTTTTGGGGGTCTTGCCATGCAATTGAAGTCATACTGTAATTAAATTAGGAAAAGCCATTAGTTAGGGTATGTCTACACTTGCCCCCTAGTTCGAACTAGGGATGCAAATGCAGGCATTCGAAATAGTCAATAAAGTGGGGATTTAAATATTCTGCGCATCATTAGCATGATCTCGCCGGCACGTTACTCTGAATGACAGCTGTTTCAAAAGTGAAAGTGCGCGCTGGGATGTGTTAGTTTGAACCAAACCCCTTGGTTCGAACTAACATTACTCCTCATTTTTTGACTATTTTTTTGGAAGAGGCTTTTCCAAAATTTGGCTTGTGTACACTGGGCCATATTTTGGAAAATCCTCCTCTTTTGGAAGATCCCTTCTTCCTTGTGGAAGGAGGAAGACAGGGCTTCCGAAAGAGCGTGTCTTCTGAAAAAAAACAAAACGGAAGAGCAGACGTGTTCCCTGGACGCAGCAGAGTTTTTTCAGGATACCTCTGGTATCCCGAAAAAAACTCCATATTCTAGGGCTACGTCTAGACTACATCCCTTTTTCGTAAAAGGGATGTAAATTAGACGTATCGCAATTGCTAATGAAGCGGGGATTTAAACAGCTGATCAGCTGTTTGTTGGCTCAGCGCGGCTGCCATGTAAATTTTAATGAAGCCGCGATTATTTAAATCACGGCTTCATTTCCCTTTGCCAAACAAACAAATCTACATGGCTCCATCGACAGAGCCATGTAGTTTAGACGTACCCTCAGTTCTAACATCTTATTTCCCCTAGGCTACGTCTACACTGGCCCCTTTTCCGGAAGGGGCATGTAAATTTCACGAGTCGTCGTAGGGAAATCCGCGGGGGATTTAAATATCCCCCGCGGCATTTAAATAAAAATGTCCGCCGCTTTTTTCCGGCTTTTAAAAAAGCCGGAAAAGAGCGTCTAGACTGGCCCCGATCCTCCGGAAAAAGTGCCCTTTTCCGGAGGATCGGGGCCAGTCTAGACGCTCTTTTCCGGCTTTTTTAAAAGCCGGAAAAAAGCGGCGGACATTTTTATTTAAATGCCGCGGGGGATATTTAAATCCCCCGCGGATTTCCCTACGACGACGAGTGAAATTTACATGCCCCCACACATTCAAACAGCTGCTTAGATGGCAACAAGTCACTGGGCCACTGGGTCCAATGACAAGAGTTCACTATGAGTTTTATTCACCAGGCTTTGTTCTAAGGCATGAGGGCTCCCAGATGAAAACCAACCCAACCATTGGAAAGGACACAGGCAAAGCTGAGGAAATAGCCCAGCCCATCAGCTACTGCTACTATCTGGAGAACTCAGCATCCTCCTTCTCTCCCTCCTGATTGCCAAAGAACTGTACTTGTCATGTTCCCTGACGTTCCTCTGGATCACTGACTGCACCCCCCCAGCCCATATTATCCCCCCAACTACACCTGTGAGAAAGATGAGCGAGGAGATGTGCTCAGATCAGAGCTCTGCTCCCTGGACCAATAACACCTAAGTCAGAGATGCAAAAGATGTCCTGAATTCCACTGATTCCTTCCCATCCCCTAGGGGCCAGGCTGCTGTCCTTTTATTGTCCTGCCCAACGTTAGTGTATTGTCCTGCCCAATGTTAACTGGCCTGAGCTGCGGAAAGGGAAGGAGGGAGCTGAGATGTAGGTTATTATCTGGATTTCTGCTCTTTTTCTTGCCATCCTTTTGGAGTGTTTAAAGTGTAATTATTTCCCTCAGTCAAGTCAATAGGGGTGACTTCTAGGCCATGTTCCTAATGTTAATCCACCACGGGCTAGGATTTGAGTCTCTCTCCCAAAGTTACTCAGGATAATATTCTCTCAAGCCCCTTTGGGCTACATCTACACTGGTACCCTTTTCCGGAAATGCTTAAAACGGAACAGTTTTCTGTTATAAGTATTTCCGGAAAAAGCATGTCTACATTGGCAGGATGGTTTTCCAGAAAAGCACCTTTTCCGGAAAAGCGTCCATGGCCAATCTAGATGCGCTCTTCCACAAAAAAGCCCCGATCGTCATTGTCGTGATCGGGGCTCTTTTGCGGAAAACACTACTGTGCTGTCTACACTGGCCCTTTTCCGGAACAGTTTTCCGGAAAAGGACTTTTGCCTGAATGGGAGCAGCATAGTTTTTCCGGAAAAGCACTGATGATTTTACAGTAGATCGTCAGTGCTTTTCTGGAAATTCAAGGGGCCAGTGTAGACAGCTGGCAAGTTATTCTGGAAAAGCAGCTGATTTTCCGGAATAAGTGGCCAGTGTAGACACAGCCTTGGTGTGTTCTCCGGAGGGAAGGTCATCTCCACAAGAGGAGTACTGTGGCTTGAAAGAGACTCCTTGCCATAAAAAATTAAGCAACGAACCTTGTCTAGCTGTGGAGGCCAATGAGTGAATTGGAGCGTCTGAATGCTGAGCGTGTGCTGGATTGTTGCTCTGAAACATGGATCCTCCCAGGGGAAGCCCCAGCCAGCTTGATGCTCCCTTGCAGTAAAGCAGCTGCAGGAGTGAGATGGGGTGGGATGGAGTCTTGCGAGGTTCTAGAGCCAGGAGCGTGTCACAGAGAACTGGGGTCCCATGACAATGCCCAGAGATAGTCTCAAGGGGCAGACTCAGAACAGGTTTGCTAACTATTGCAAGGGGAGGTCCAGAGCACTAATTTTCAAAGGTGGTTGCTGGTTTGGGAGCGGGGGGTCTCCGTTTTGGGATGAGCAGCTTGAGAGCCCTGGACCCTGATTTGCAGAGGTACCAAAAACCCACAGCTCCCACCAACTTCAAGTGGAGTCAAGTGGGAGCTTCCCTGCTTCTCAAAGTGAGGTGCAATCAAGGGGGCTCCCAAAACCCGAGGTGCCCCAATCCATAGGCCAAATGCGGCCTAGTGTTCCCTTAGGGTGTGTCTAAACTACATGGCTCCATCGATGGAGCATGTAGATTAGGCTGATCGGCAAAGGGAAATGAAGCCGCGATTTAAATAATCGAGGCTTCATTTAAATTGTCGGCTCAGCACGCTAGTCTGGACGCTCCCGCGCCGACCTGAAAGCCCTTTATTGACCTCCCCGTTATGCCTCGTAGGATGAGGTTTACCGGGGAGGTTGATAAAGGGCTTTCATGTTGGCAGGGGAGTGTCCAGACTAGCACGCTGAGCCGACAAACAGCTGATCAGCCGTTTGTCGGCTCAGCGCGGCAGCCATTTAAATTTAAATGAAGCTGCGATTATTTAAATCACAGCTTCATTTCCCTTTGCCGAACAAACAAATCTACATGGCTCCGTCGACGGAGCCATGTAGTTTAGACGTACCCTTAGAGTGGACACTGCACGTGTGAAGAACATGCCAGGAGGCCTGGAATAGCTGGCTTCCCAAAGTCACAAGGGGAGGTGCCAGGGGACAGGAGCAAGGTAAGGTGTGTCCCAGCTAATGGCGGAATGCGGGTTCCTTTGAAAACAGGGCCCAAAAGGAGGCCAAGCAGAGGGGAGTTGAAACCCAATCACATTCACACCTCCCCAGAGCATGTAGTAAAGAGAGGTCTGTGTGTTGCAAGGGGTAGTATCCGAGGAAGAACTGGGGAGCAGGAGTAGGGATGTAAGTGGCTAGTTGACTATCCGACAGGCATAAGCTTATTGGATAGTCAGGTAGTGACTCAACTAGTCGCTTTCCCAAGCAGGGGGAGCAGGAGCCAGTGCTGGGGGGAGCCTGCTTAAAAGCTGGTTCCCCCCAGCACCGTCTCCCTGGGGGGCAGAAGAGGCAGAGGCACAGCGAGGAAACAGCGCGAGCAGGGACTGAAGTTGTCCCCACTCACGCCAGTTCCCACTGTAGCATTTCAGCCTTTGAAATGTAGCCCCGTGGGGCTCTTATTATAGTTCAATGGCTGAAGCGCCACAGTGGGAACACAGGGGAAGTGGGGACTACTTCAGCCCCCCCTGACCCCATGCTGCCCCCCTTGCAGGGCAGGGGAACACTAGCCAGTGCTGGGGGGAGCCAGTTTAAAAGCCAGTTTCCCCTAGCACCATCTCTGGGGTTCCGCCTGCCTCCCCCCTCTATCAGAGGCAGCGAGGGGAGTGGGGAGGGGAGGCTGCTGCGAAGCAGCCCCTGTCCGCACGGATCCCAGTAGGGAGCTGGGCCCCCCCGCGGAACAGGCTGCTGGACTCAGCATGCGTCGGGACCAAGCAGTCCCGGCTTCTGCAGATGTTGTGCCTCTGCATTTTAAATGGAGTAAGAGCCCGGTGGCTTTTATTATATTTAAAATGCAGAGCTGCAGCTCTGCAGAGCGGCCCTATCGACGACTCGTATAGTCAATACAAATTGTAGCGACTATACGACGAGCTTGGTAACCGCAATTGAACATGCTTAAGCAGCAGGGGAGGTTTCTGTATCTCGGCATCAGGACAGAAAGACGGCACTAGTGTCTATTGGAGCCTCCCTTCTCTCCCCACTCCTTGTGACAAAGCTCTCCTGGTAACAATGGGTCTAGACTGGCAAACACTTGCCAGCTGTCTACACTGGCCACTTGAATTTCCGCAAGAGCACTGACTTTGTAATGTACAAAATCAGTGCTTCTTGCGCAAATACTTTCACGCTCCTGCTCAGGAAAAAGCCCTCTTGCACAAGACTACTTGCGCAAGAGGGCCAGTGTAGACAGGAAAGAACTGTTTTGCGCAAAAAAGCCCTGATGGCTAAAATGGCGATCGGGGCTTTCTTGCGCAAAATCACGTCTAGACTGGCCACGGATGCTTTTGTGCAAAAGCATCCGTGCCAATCTAGACGCGCTTTTGCAGAAATACTTTTAACGGAAAAACTTTTCCATTAAACGTATTTCCGCAAAATCATGCCAGTCTAGACGCAGCCACAAGGTGTAAGACTCCAGGGCACTCAGTCTAGTACTTCCAACTAACAGCAACTCCATGGCATTGACTTTTGTATCCATTTCCAACTTCACTGATTTAGATCCATCCGGTGTAGCAGGAACCAACTGCGGGATCTCATTCCCATTGCCCTCCTCGTCCTCCCGTTCCTCCGCGTGGCTTGCCATGCCCATTTGTCGCCTCTCCTTTCCAATGAGCTTCTCAAGGATTCGGGGAAGGGGCTGTTTCCCCTTGGGTGTTAGAAGAACACACCTACCCTGTTGGAGGCCTGGCTCCTGAGCCCAAAGGCCCAGCCCCTCCCCCAGGGCACAGCACACCCTGGGCTGCCAGAGGCCGGGGGGACAAGGCTCCGCACTGTGTCTGCTCCCTGAGGGCAGCGCGCTGGCCAGTGGCAAAGCTCAGAGCCTGTCCCACCCAGCAGGACGCTCCGAGCTCCCCACATAGCTCTGGGAGAGAATCCCCACTTGCAGAGGGTGCCACCAGGCAAAGCCGCTGGCCAGGCCAGGAAGACGCGGAGACCAAAACACCCCATTGGGGGCAAGACAGAGCCTTGAATCAGGCACTTGAGAACACTTGGATCCTGCTACCCTATGACTGGTCATTAGTTTGGCTGCTGTGCATAGCCTGGCTAGCTCAGTTGGCCGAGCATAGTAATAGCGATGTAGCCGTGTTAGTCTGGTCTAGCGGAAACAAAAGACAGGACTATGTAGCACTTTAAAGACTAACCAGATGAGGTGATAAGCTTTTGTGGGCCAGACCTACTTCCGCAGATCAAATTGTGGGAGAAAATTGGCACAACCGTATATACCAAAGGAATCTAATCAAAAAAAGTGAAATAAAAAACATGGCAAAGCATGAGACTCTTAATTTCAGGCTTATGGGTTCAAGCCCTGTGCTGGGCAATGACTTTCTTTCGCTCACACTCAGCCTACAAGCCGTTTGCTCTACAATACAAAATGTGATTGTGAAACTTGGAACAAGCCAGGGCTGAAGAATTCAAGCAAGGTGTTGTCTGAACTCCAAAGCCAGCCACCCAGAGCCGCATTATGACTTTCGTGGGCCCTAGGCACTTTTGCCGTCGGGGCCCCTTCCTCCATAAAAAAAAATATAAAAATTATTTTTTTGATATAACTTTAAATACTTCAACATTTTTTTTTTTTTCTGTTTTAGGCAAAATGTAATAGATTTTCGTGGGCCTTAAAAGTTTCATTTATTTCTGATGTGAGAAAAAAATTAAAACATTTTCTTCAACCCTAAAAGTTCATTTTTTTCCTTCCGATTTTAAAAGAAATTAAAACATTTTCATGGGCCTCTAAAAGTATCATGGGCCCTAGGCACTGTGCCTAATGGATAAGTCGGCCCTGCAGACATCAGATCTGCAAAGGAATTTAAGCTTCTAATTTCCTTTGATTTTCAGTATATGAAACTCTTTGCCATGACACTTGGGCTTCATTTACACATAACATTCATTTGCATATTTGCATATTCATTAGATGGATCGAAAGCTGGCTAGACCAGGGGTTCCCAAACTTTTTACTTCAGTTGGAACCCGTTTTTTTTCAGCGGCAGGGATCCACATCCCCCTTCCCCCCACACTCACCAGTGGTGGTGGGAAGTGGAGTGACCCGGCCCCAACTCACTCTGTTCTCCCAGCGCCAAGGTGGGTCACTCCGCTTCGCCCGTTGCCCATGTGTCCGTGGCTGGGACAGTCCCACCCCTTCCCGCAAGTCTCCTCCCACAAGCAACGTGGCTCAGAGCCAGGAGAGCAGAGTGGCTGGGGCCGGGTTACTCTGCTTCCTGCCACTGGTGAGCGTGGGGGTGCACCAGTCCTTATTGCTGGCCCCAGGCCCTTGGCTAGTCCCCTAGGCTGCCCTGGGCCCGCCAAAGCATGGGGACCAGTGCAAGTGCTGGGCCTGTCCCCCTCCACCCACTGCGTTAGGGGCACATGACCCTTGTGCCCCCCCATGTTGCCCCCGGTCTACATCCTGTAACTTGAATTAATCTTAAAAGTAAAGACATGTATGTCCTGCATAAATCTAATGTTGCCTATTCAATCTTCAGCTTCTCTATCCCTGTTATAAGGAAAGACCAGCCATTGCCCTATGTAAATCAGTGTAGCTGGATTGCCTGTGCACGCATGCATAACATTGCTGGCACCTTTCAGCTGCAAGAGACGGTGGGAATGGGTTTGCAGCGTCTCATGTGATTGACAGGACCGGGGTGGCCTACCTGTGGCTCGTGAGCTGCATGCGGCTCTTCTCCCCCAGAAGTGCAGCTCGTGAAGCTGCTCCTGCCTCTCAAACGCCCCTGGCCCCTGGCTTTCCTATGCTCACTGTGGTGGCGATTCAAAATCGCACCCAAGCTGGCTGCTGTCGATGGGAGCCTGATATGGCCAAAAAGCCTAAGCTTGTTTCTTAAAGGGGTACCCTCCTTTTTTTTTTTTTTTTTAAGCTCGACAATTCTGGTGCGGCTCTTCCCATTTTTTCCACCGCTGTTCCGGCTCTCTTTGTTAAATGGGTTTGCCACCCCGGACTAGACCAATCCGAGATTTGCAGCCTCTGTGGCAGTTATTGCAAATGTCTGCATCTTGGTTGGGAGCTGCTTGCTTCCTATGGGTGCTTTTCGAGCTGTAGGAGCCAGCTCCTG